GGCTAGAAAAACCAGAAAGAATGTCAACAAGGCAAACAGCACTGTCAACGAACAGACGGAACAAACCGAGGAGAGATCTGTAGAACACACCACCCACCACCAGCAGGGGACGTCCTCCAGTGAACACGGGACAGTCTCCAGGACCGCCCACATGCTGAACTCTGAAGTAAACCACAGCAAGTTTAGAAGGGATGAAAAAATGCAAGTATGTTCTTTGACCACAATGGAATAAAGTTAGAGATCATTAAACTATATTTGGAAAATGCACAAAAATGTTGATGTTAAACAACACACTCCTAAATAACCAATGGATCAGAGAGGAAATCAAAACAAAGATTAAAAAAATACCCCATGATAAATGAAAATAAAGATATAGCATACTAAACCTCATGGGTCAAGCTTGGAGGGAAATTCATTGCTGTAAACATATATATTAAAAAGGGATAGGGCCAGGGATTTAGCTCAGTGGTTCTGCTGCCTGCCTTGCAAGTGCAACAACCCAAGTTTGATCCCCAGTACCAAAAAATTTTAAAAAATAAAAAATAAAAAGGGATGGATAAAGGCTCAATAGCAGAGTACTACCTAGCACGCATGAGGCCCTTGGTACCACACACACACATGAATACATATATATCTATAAAGGTGATGGTTTTACAACATTGGGCTTTTTTTTTTTTTTTTTGGTTTGTTGAAACAGGGTTTCACTATGTAGTTGAAATTGACCTGGAAGTCACTATGTAGCCCAGGCTGGTCTTGAACTCACAGTGATCTTCCTGCCTCAGTCTCCCGAGAGCTGGAATTACAGGTGTGCACCACCACACCTGGCTTACAACATTGTGAATATACTTAGTGCCGATGAATTATATTCTTAAAAATAGTTAAAATAATAAATCTTATATTTTACCACAGTAAAAATCCCCCCAATTTTATTTTTAAAAGGGAAGGATGTAAAGTGGGTAACACAGTCTTCCAACTCAAGGAACAAGGAAAAGAACAAACTAAACCTAAAGCAAGCTTGGGCAAATATATAATAAGGATCAAAGTGGACGGTTGAAAGCCAAGAGTTAAGGCTGAATAATATTCCATTGTTCAGAGAAACCATATTTGTTTGTCTGTCGTCTACCAATGGATAACTAGGTTCTTCCACCCTTGTGCTATTGCGGATAATGTGGATAATAATATTGTGGATATTGTGCCTTGACTATAGGCTTACACATCTCTCTTTAAAAAGGAAATTCGGATCCACGTCACAGCATGGATAAACCATGAGGACATGCTAAATGAAATAAACCAGCCGCAAAAGTGTAGAGACTGTATGACCCTTGGAGGTCCCCAGAGCAGTCAGATTCACAGGAACAGAAAGTAAAATGGTGGTCATCGGGGGGTTTGTATGGGGGAGGGGGAGTTGCTAAATTAATTAATTAATTCAAAGGGTTCAGAGTTCAGTTTTATAAGAAAAATAGTTCTGTGGATAGGTTGTAGTGATAGTTGTAAATCAATATAAATGCACTCCAGTCCACTGAGCTGTACAATTAAAAATGGTCAAGATGGCAGATTTTATGTTATGTGGATTCTGCCACAGTTTTTTTTTTTTTAAATTTAAGAGTGGAAAGTAATAAAATAGAGAATAGAAAAACAACAGAAAAAAATCAGCTACATCAAAAGTTGGTTCCTTGGGCTGGGCGGGGATTTAGCTCAGTGGTTCCACTGCCTGCCTTGCAAGGGCAGGGACCCGAGTTCCATCCCTGGTATTCCCCCACAAAAAAGTTGGTTCCTTTAAAAGTTCAACAAGATTGGCAAACCTTTAGCTAGATTTCTCCAGGAAAAAGAAAATGAAGACTCAAATTACAAGAGTCAGAAATGAAAGAGGGGAACATTATTACTGACCTTACAGAAATAAATGGATTTTAAGAGAATACGAGGAACAATTATATGCCAATACATTAGATAAATTAGGTGAAACAGACAAGTTCCTAGAAATACGTGACCTATAGTAACTGACTCAAGGAGTAAAAGACAATCAGACTAAATCTAGAACAAGGGAAGAGACTGAGTTAGTCATCAAAAATCTACTCACAATGCAGTGTCCTTAGAGATGAATTCCACCAAATGTCTAAAGATTAACAACAATTCTTCACAATCTCTTCCAGAAAATGGAAGATGACCGAACACTTTCCAAGTTATGGAAACTGACACACTGTACAAGAACCCCAAAACATTATGCTAACTGAAAGAAGCCAGGGGCAAAACCATATATGTTAGCCTATGATTCCAATTTTATGAAATGTAAGTGTCGTGGCACATGCCTGTAATCCCGGCACTCAGAAGGCTGAGGTAGGAGGATTGCTGTGAGTTCAAGGCCAGCCTGAACTACATAGAGAGAACTTGTATGAAAAAAACAAATGAACAAAACAAAACAATTTTATGAAATATAGGACAGGAAAATCTATATAGAAAAAATAGGTAAGTGGTTGCTAGGGGATGTTCAGGAGGTGAAACTAAAATGTATAAAGCCCTGGTGTGGTGCTGCATACTTCCCAGTACTTGGGAAGCTGAGGCAGGAAGATCACTGTGAGTTCAAGGCCAGCCAGGGCTACACAGTGAGTTCAAAGCCAGCCTGAAAAACACAGTAAGACCCTGTCTCAATAAACCAATTAACTAACTAACTAACCAACTACACTAAGTTATTTTTTGATGGATAAAGAAGGTTGCATAGGCCTGGGGATTTAGCTCAGTGGTTCTGCCGTGTGCCTGGCAAGTGCAAGGACCTGAGTTCGATCCCTGGTACCAAAAAAAATAAAGGATGTATAACTGATTGCGGCCATGGCTAGATGGCTGCAGAACTCTGGAAAATGCTAAAAATCATTGGCTTGTACATTTTAAATAGGTAAGTTATTTAATGAGTGATTTGTGTCTTACTAAAGTGGTTATAAAAAAACATTCTATCTTTATCCGTTATACACATCGAACTCTTTGAAAGTGTTTATTCATGACACTCATTTCCTTCCATGGTTTTCACAAGCCTTACCAACCCCTTCCGTCCATCAGAAAGACTTGTGCTAAGCACCTGCTGGGTGCTGTCATCCAGCAAGGAATGCAGGGATTGATTTAGTGCCACACCTGTCCTTGAAGCTTGTGGCCAGGTGAGGCAGAAAGGGCATCCGATGAAATTCCAGCCTGCCTAATACCTAGTCCCTCTCAGCATAGGTGTACTCTTCACCGTGACCCAAGGAGCAAAGAGTTATGCAAGCCAGCATCTATTGAGCACTTACTGTGTGCCTGGCACTGTGCTGACCTCTTACCACTCTGACGAGGGCAGGGAGCTCCTAAGGCCTTCAGGAGTTCCAGACAAAATCAGGTTTGAGATGGGGCCAAGAAAAGGCTTCACCCAGCTCAGAAAAGAAACTGAGGTTCCACAGATGGAGGGCCTCTCAGCTTGGAGCAGCAAAGTGCACTGGGTCCCAAGACCAGAGTTCTCACTCACATTCTGGCCAGCCCCTCAACACCTCCTAGAGACTCGATGTGTTCAGCCGTGCAATGGGACCACGGCTGCTATGTCTGCCTTCTGCTTAAGAAATGATGATCTGTATAAAGGAAAAGCCAAGTTTTCCTGAATGGTGCTGGAAAGTGGGACTCTGGGCACCAGCATGTAGGAGGTTGCTGGCCACCCACGTTAAAGGCCTCGCTCCATGATCCTGTCTGACTTTCTGCCTCACTCCCTGCACTTGTGTCCTCTTGCCGGGTGAGGCACTCGGGGTGGCTTTGAGCCTCACACAGGAGGATGGAGAGTGTGGGCATGAATGGCAGTGCCCGTGAGCTCAGCGGGGGGCTGCTGATGGGCAGGCCACATGCAGAGCCTTACGAACTACCCAGTCCTCGGTTGCCTTACCCTGACCTAGAGATGCTTGTGGTGGGGTGGAGGCCCAGTCTTGGCGGTGTCCCTATGCCAAGGGCCTCTCGTGTGTTGCATTTGTGGAGGGGCACACAGGGCCTCAGCGGGTGTGGCTCTCAAGGACGGCCACCAGTGGGTCAGCTACCCCAGGCAGGGTGGAAGTAGAGGACACACAGTCACCTGGGGACCTCCCCACCGTGCAGGTGGGGACCTCGGACTGTGGATTCCTAACAAATTCCCAGGGTACACCATGCAGCTTGCCTAGTCCACACGTTGAGCAGGAGGACCTGGGGTCTAGCACTGCCATTTCTGATGAGCAATAAACACATCTTGGCCTCCCAGAGCCCTGGACGAAGCCCCACCCAATGCAACCCTGGCTTCCAACATCTGGAGGGTGACACTCCATTGGTTTTCAGAGTTTCCAGGATTCCTTTGCCATTACATGTATAAAATAAAACTAGTACCACACTATTAAAAAAAAAAAAAAAAGGAAAATATGAAAAACTGTAAGAAAAAGAATCACTGATAATTTCACACTCTAATTTTAAAAGATAGTTGGCTAATTTATCTCCCATCATCCCCAAGACACAGGTATGGGGGCGTCAGGGGTCACCCTGGGAGGGTCAGGGTGCTGCCCCTGACACCCTCCATCTCCTGGCCTCCTTCCTGCCCAAGGAGATGCCCAGCTCCTCAGCCCGAGACCTCTCCGAAGGGCATAAAGTGGGGACAGGAGCCCCTTCCCTCCTCTCTGCAGGCAGAGGGAGGCAGAGGGGGTGTCTGAGGGAGGGGGTGCACATCTGGATTCCTGGCGTGGCGCCCGCATTCCTTCCTTGTGAGTGTGAGCAGCTGGGGCCTCCAGAGAGCTGGAGGAGGCTGCTGGCCCGGCTGCCCCACCGTAATGGGGCCCACCCTGCAGGGGAGCTGCTGGGGCCCGGAAGGCCCAGAGCCTCTTTTGAGGGGCCCAGTCTGGACCCAGAACTCCCCACTCAGATTGCTGTCCCACCATCTCTGTCCCAACCACCGAGGGGACAAAAGGTGGAGCACAGAGCTTGTCCACCCATAGACCTGGGTTGCCAGGGAGCCCCAGACCCTCAGTCATCCGCCTTACCTGGGGACAGTCCTTGATGTAGTGGCCCTTGTTGAAGCACAGGTGGCACAGGTAATTGGGCGGGGGCCGCTTGCTGGGCTTGCGGGCCTCAGAGCTGAGGGTCAGGTCTGAGAAGCGCTCAGTGAGCGAGCTCAGGCCATCAGCGATGTTGCTGAGGGAGCCGTAGGGCGAGGCGCTCTTATACACGCTGCTGCTCAGCGCCTGTGGGGAAAGAGGTTGTTGGCAGCAGTGGCCAGGAGATTTCCTCTGTCCCCTTCCCATGTACGAACTCACACGGTGTCCTCGGCTGCCTGAAAGCTCCGGCCTCCAGGAGCCTGAGTGCAAATCCAACCCTAGGCCCACTGTGAGTCCTCGGGTGGCCAGTTAGCCACACTGGGCCTCAGTGGCCCTGTGTGTGACACAGGAATAGGACAGTGGTCTCGGAGAGTTTCTGTCCATACCTGACACTCAGGAACCCTTCAGTCCCTGGTGACAATGACAGTGACTATGATTACTACTCTCAGTTCTTTATGTGCTGCCCTGAGGTAAGGAGGTAGAGAAGGCTGCCTGTCAGATCTGAGGCTCTGTCTCTACTGGTGGAGGGACATTAGGCAAATCACCGCCGACTCAGTTTCCCCTGGAACTACGGCTTGTGGCATAGTTTCCATTTTACAGAAAGGAAGACTGAAGCCCAGTCCTCTGCTTGGTCTCCTGCATTCAGGAGGCCAATCCAACCCTGGCCATTCTTTGGGAGCCAGAAGAGGGAAGTGGCCCACCTCTCCCACCTCCCGATGACAGGAACCAGATACCCCGCCAAGCGTCAAGGCAGACGTGGCCCAGGCCACCTCCTGGTGTACACAGCCTCTATTTATAGGCGTTGCGGGCTCCAGGCGGCCTGGCACGCTAGAGCCCAGGGAAGGTGGGGCTTGCAGTGAGGCCGGTAAGGAATGGCTGTGGGTTCCTTTCCCAGGACAAGACCGAGGCCAGAAAGAAGACCAACCTGGCCATGGAGCTTGGCATCCCCTAGAACCAATGCAGGTGCCCAAGAACTACAGGAGTGAGCTATGGACCTGGGGACTTGGCCTGACAGGGAGACGAGCCTGTGTTCCTGGGAGTCTTCAGGCTGATGGGGCCCAGGGCCTCAAAGCTGGGGTAAACAGGGACTCCGAGTGGGGACAATGTAGAGAGGGGAGGGAGGACATAGAACTGTGCCCGGGGTTTGGAATACACCCTCTCCTCCCCTGGTCACTCCCTAACGTGCCTTCTTGCTGTCCCTTCTTTAAGGGTAGGCTTCTCCCCTTCCAGAGCACCATGCCCTCCTCATCAGGGGCCATGGTACCTCAGCAGCACACTCTGCTGTGTGATCCTGGGTCAGCCCTTTCCCTCTCTGGGCCTCTGTTCCCGCTCATGCACTTTTGGAAGCCAGCCTGGAATGTGGAAGGAAAGACAGACAGCACATCTACGGTGGCTCGGGGAGCACCCGACTATAGCAGCGCCCGGGCAACGGAGGTGTGTGGGTCCTGACGGCTGTCTGCTCTACCACTCCCCACTTCCATCATGAAGCCCAGAGCATGGAAGCCTGGGGTGACTTCTCAGCTCTCCAGTGAACCCGAGATGGAGTGCCCCCAGCAGGCAGAGCCCCCCATCCCTGGAAACAGTGTGTGAGCTCACGGGGACCACCCTGTCAGGGCAGGGGAGGGGGCTATGGGCATCGGGTCAGGTGACCATGATACCCCAGCTCCGGAACTTTACACACATTGCAGGCTGTGGTTCTTACCACTGTCCTGTGAGTTACAGTCCTCACCATAGACATTAAACAAGTGTTTCCGAACTTTACTGAGTGACCCGGGACACTTGCAGCCAGTTTTCTGGGTCCCACCCTCGGCAGACTCAGTACCCCTCAGGACCGAGGGCCTAGAATCAGCATCTTTCACCGTATGGCAAAACACATCAATAAAAGTAATCTTTGTAACTTATTTTTTTTGGTAATACTGGGAATTGAACCCAGGGCCTTTGCTGAGCTACATTCCCAACGCTTTTTTCTATTCTGAGATAGGGTTTCACTAAGTCATTAAGTTGCCCCTGCTAGGCTTAAACTTGCAATCATCCTGTTTCAACCCCCCAGGGTGCTGAGATTACAGGCATGTGCCACCGTGCACGGTGCACTGTCACACAACCCTAAGGTGCACAGCTCGGTGGCAGTAAGGGCATTTTCACTGTGCAACCATTCCATCACCGTCCAGAACTTTCCATCCTCCCAAACTGAAACTGCCCTGTTAGACTTGGGCTCCTTGCCCTCCCCTGCCCCAGCCTGCATGGGCACTTCCCAGGCTCCTGGGCAGTTTGGGGACCATTAGCCAGGCCCCCAGGCCAGGTCTGAGAGGGGCCTCTGGCAAAGACTATCCCCAGCTCAGGAGACCCCACCCCACGCCAGAGCAGCCAGAGCCGGGCAGCAGGGCCAAGCTCCAAACGTGACTCACCCTCACAGCTGGGAAATGCAATTTCACAAATAACAACGGTCTTACTGCGCCCCCCCCATTTCCTTTTTCTTTCTTTTTTTCCCTGGATATGATTTCAGTAAGTCTGCAGGAATCAGGGCTGCCTTGGCAGCAAATTGTCAAGAGGAAGGGGAAGTTTGGTGGATGCCCAAAAGTGCACTAATTACACCCTGAAAATTCCTCTCCCCCAACTTGTGGCCACGCTCCCCTGCCCACGACAGCCCCTCAGGCACCCTGGGCAGCCAGAGGCCTCCATGAAGGTGGCCTTTCCCTGGTGGCTCGATAGCACCCACCCCTGCCTCCCCAGGGTCACAGCTGTGTCCCTCCACACATAGCCTCCCGAACTCAGTGTCCTGCAGCCCAACAGTGGCTGCTGTCCCAAGCCCCGGTTCAAGACAAGCAGACCCTCAGAGCTAAAGAACAGAGAGAAAACAGCTGACCCGACCTCAGTTCTGTGTTACAGATGGAGAAACTGAGGCCTAGAGAGGTACAGGTTCACAGGGCCAGTCTGGACTGAGCCAGGAGGCCCCTTGCTTGGCCGGGAAGGGCGGGAAGGGCAGGAAGGGAGGCAAGCTGTTTCCTCTCCAGAGCCTTGTTTGAGCTCGGGCCATGGAGGTGAAAGGTGAGTCCTGGATGTTTTCATGGCCTGCGGGCACCGGACAGAGATCAGGACGCCGGTGGGACTGGGTGCTGGCCTCCTGGTTTCCCATCTGCAAAATACACAGTGTGGCAGCAAGGGATGGCACACCTATCAGCAGCCTTACCATCCTTAGGCACAGGTGCCCGGGTCCTGAGAGATGCCCCCAAGCCTGGCACACAGAGGGTGCCCATCTTCCCTCTGCACCAAGGGCCAGGCAGCCTCGGAGCTTCTATCAGTCAGCCCTAAATCAGCCACAAATGGCTCCTCTCAATGTCCCCACCAATGACTCTGCTTTTCTCCCTGGGCTGCATGCACTGCCCCTTCCCAGAATGCCATGCGAATCCCCTGAACCCGGCTCCAGGCCTGGCTTTAGCGCCAGTGCTGCGGCCTCAGAGCCATCCTTCTAGACTCCGCCTCAGGCTTCCCGGAACAGTGTGAAGCGCACAGATCCACGGGGCCCTGGCCTCCTCCCCAGACCTTCTGTTCCAATCCCTAAGTCCCAAGCCCCAAATCCTGCCCTGGTGGGAGACGTGAGACCATCATGCAACGCTGCCTGTGCCGGTCTGCTGGTGCTAAGGGGTCGCTCCAGTCTCCCTGCAGTGTGACAGCTCCTCATTTCTCCCATGAAGCTGGGTGGCCCTAGAGGCACCATTCAGCGGGCTCCTGTTGCCCTGGGACCCAGATTGGTTTTGCTGCTCCTTACGCCTGTTCTCGGCCCCCACTAGGAAGGGCCTGGGAGCCCGCGGGACAGGGAAGGGCTGGGGCCCCAGGTTTTCTATGGACAGACAGACTGCTCTGGTACCAGCTGGTGGGTGGAAGGTAGGGGCCACATCTCCTTCCTCCTGGGTCAGTGACCCCAGTGGCCAGCAGAAAGTATGGGGTCCTCATCCCGAGTAAAGAGGACAAAGTGTCACACTCCTGCCCACGCCTGGAACTACTGTAAGGGTCTGCTGGGGGAAAATCAGACTAGGTGACACTAGAGCTGTAATTGTACACGTATCACACACTGGATTGCATCCTTTCTCTGCCTTAGCTCCCACTGCCTGGCAAGAACACAATCTGAGTACCGCTGGCTTCACTCTACAGGACTGGAAAAGGAGACTCAGAGAAGCTGAGTCACTTGCTTGAGGTAACACAGCCAGTATGTGTTGGGCTGTGACATTTCAGCCTCCACACAGCTTCCAAAGCTTGGCCTCCTCTACAGGAAGTAGAGCCAGAGGAAAGCGCCAGGTGTGGCACCAGCTTTTCTAGGCTGTGCAAAGGGTTCAGGCCCTGGTGATGGTGGCTCTGCTGTGGGATACGAAAGGCAGGGATAGATCCACCCAGGTTCACTGCTGAGGGGCCTTCTCCTCCCCAGGGCATTCAGAGGGCACCACAGGCCAGGGAGGGGGGTGCAGAGCTCAGGGCAAAGCCCGGAGGAAGCGGAGATGTGTATGAGGGATCTGGGACAGCAGCAGAGAGGGGGCATCTGCTGGGAGTGACACAGCCCGTGAGGTACAACTGCTTCCCCCAAAGCCTCCACATCCCTCTCGTGAACCTGACACACGCAGATGTGTGCACCTGCACCCACACCGCCATCTGTGACAAGGAGCCACTGGTTCACGAATGACTCACCCCTCTCCCAAGAGGGTCTTTCCTGTCCCCAGGGCCTGTCTGGTGCCTGGCACTCAGGCATCCCATGCACACACACAGAAGTGGCTATGGGTGCACTCAGGCTGAAAAGCTGACAGGATGGACACAGCAAGTAGTGGCCCATGGGGACACCAGCCCCTCCCTGACGGAGAAGCTCCCTAGCCACACTCAGCCGGCTTCTGCGCAGATCTCCAAGATCTTTCACTGACCTGGGACCAAGACCAGTGCTGGGCTGGCCAAGATGGGGGTGGCGACCCTTCCCCAGGGCCCCTGGACACCTTCGCCACCAAGAGGCACACGTTTCTCACAGCCTCCTGCACAATAAAAAAGTGCTCGATAAAAAGCCTGACCTAAGCCAGGCATAGTGGTGTAGCCTGTAAATCTAGCACTCAGGAGGCTGAGGCAGGAGGATTGCCATAAGATCTAGGCCAGCCTGAACTATGGAGCAAGACCTGGTGTAAAAAAAAAAAAAAAAAAAAAAAAAAAAAAAAAAAAAAA